GAACTACTGGAGGGTCAGTACAGCCATTAAAAAAATATTTAAGATTGTTATCCTATCATTTGAATATCACAAAGGAGAATAACAAGACCACGAATGATTTTCTTCTCTCATTTGGAAGTTATTAGTAGACTTCCCTTTGTTCCATTAAGAAATGAGAGAAGAAAATATGAAGTTGCAGCGAACCCATATGGGCAGCAGGAAAGTCCTGTTTAATTGCTTTATTGCCAGAAATGTTAAATCACTTCCTGAGGATATAGTTCAAATGAAACATATGGCAATTATTAACAAAAGCCCCTAATGAATTCAAAAATATGCTTTTTATAGGACCTTTCTCATAAGCAACAGTCATACATGTTATTTGAACTGTATATGTGAATATGTTTTTGGTACTTTAATTCCACAAATGTTTGATGAACACTTACTCTATATCAGACTATACAGCCACCTTGCATGGGCTGTTTTGTTCCAAGCATAGGAACAGATAAAACACTACGGAACCTCAAGACCTGAAGCCCAAATCTAGCCATGCCTCTTCTCTGAACTCAAAGGCAAAAAGAATCTTTGGACCAACGTCTCCTTCCAAAGGGTTCAGTGCCTAAGAAAACCATTCCATTTCCACCTGGGTGGTCCTAATTATCGACTGTCTTCTCACTCCTTTTGATGTCACACCAGTGATGATGCTAATCATGACCATTGAGCACCCACTGTATGTAACTATTCTCTGTCTTTCATGTACCTTCTTCGACGGGATTGTGAATTCCACAGAGAAGGAACACTTTGCCAAGGCTTTCTGCACACAGGATAATGTGAGGCATTTAATTTAGGAATCAACAGATAGCTTCAATTAATTGAAAATGGAGTGTCAGCATTTTTAAAATTTATTTATAAACCTTTTCTAGAGAGACAGTTCTCCCTCAAATTCAAAGATAAATCAGCTGAGAGACATTCAGCTGTTGACTGCCTGGTTTTACTTTGAAAGGGCAGTTATAAAATTCTGGGTGCATGAAACTGTTGACAGTTATTTCATGGAAGTGATCCTTGGTGGCTTAAAGAATCATACAGAATGTGGTGAGGCTCTAAAGTAATAGGAATTGGCTACATGGAGGCTAAAATATTTTTGCTTTGTAGCACAACTCATTGCTTAACATTTTTATTAAATATTTACTTATACATGCTCGGTGACACACTTTGCAATCAAATAGAACAAAATATGGAAAAGACCTGTCACTGGTCAACCTGTGATTTGGGGCAAGACACTCAATTTGTCTTAAAGGCCTTGGCTGTAAGAAGAGAGAACTTACTTAGATAATTTCTAAATAGCTCATACAGATATTCCTGCACAGATATTTTGTGATCCCAGTCAATATTTTATCATGGAATCTCTCCAAATTTTTCTTCTTCCTTGTTTCAAAAAGACTCTGATTAGTACTTTGAAACTAGTGTTAGTGACCTCAGAGGCCAACATGCAGGTGGTTGTGTCCTGGCTCCCATTACCGACAGTGACCTCGCAAAAGTTTCCAGGACCCCATAGGTTATTCTAAGCATTTGATGAGTTTATGCAGGCAAAAGCTTAAAACGGTACCTTGTACCTATTCAGAACCTAGTAAGTGTTCACTATTTCCTTCTGAGGCGCTTTCTCCATGAACGTCTTTTAACTGCTTATCACCGACCTTTACAATCTTCTCAATGGACAGGTTTTGGTTTTGTTGTTTATTTTCTTGTCACAGAAGAGAAAATTTAATTTGAAAGACCTCATCTCCAGTCAGGGAGGAAATCCAGGGGCTAAGCTTAAAATATAACACATAGTATGAATTTAAGTCCTTTATTTTGAGAGAGAGAGAATACGCAAGAGAAGCAGTGGGGTGGTGACAGAGGGAGAGAGAGAATCCTAAGCAGTCTCCATGTTCGGCACAGAGCCTGTTAGGGGGGGTCTCAGTCCCACAACCCTGAGACCATGACCTGAACTGAAATAAAGAGCCAGATCCTCAACCAACTGAGCCACACAGGTGCCCCAAATTTAAGTCCATTTTTAAATAAACCCTTCTCAAAAAAGATACATAACAAGTCAACAAATATCACCAAAACCATGTGATAATTTTCCTGTAAAGGGGAAAACATCTTTTCTACAGTGTAGAATCACACAGTTCTTCTTGAAGAGAGGGAAAAATAGATGACCCTGCTACAAATGAAAGGATGCTGAGGAAGATACCTAAAGCCTATGCAGTCCCTTCGATGCCCTGGTCTCTGGACATGACCCTCCACTCTGCCATTTACTCACCTGATACTCTCCTCACAGCTGTACCTTTGCCAGGATGCAGTCAGCATTCACATTCAGAGAACAAGAAGTGAACCACTAAATGTAGATAGAAATTAAGTCAAAATATACCTTCACTATAGATTAATCTTGCCAAAATAAAACCCCCCTCTATTTTTTACCCATAGAGAGATTTGCCTCTTATTTGAAAATTGCCTCAATCTCCAAATTTTGTAAGTTCCAAAAGTGAGGATCTCGGCAATAATCAATATCTCACAAAGATATAGGTATCTTGATACTTGATATTTCTGGAAATGAAGATTGATGCTAAAGAATGTGTACACACATGTGCACGCACACACAACAAAATTAATTACCCATTTGAGCCTACTTCTCTTACCCCAACTCTGAGGAATTTGTCCCTGAAGAGAAGGAGAGATGTCAGTCGTAGACATCCTGTTTGGTCAGTGGTTTGGGTATCAAATCAAAAAAAGGTATCAAATCCCAGTGGGTCAGATGGATTGAAGTCTTCCAATACAAGTTATACCTTCATGTTCACAATATTATAAACATGAATAACTGAGGTGAATGGCAACCAGAAGTTCAACTTCCTTAATTTATTTTAGAATATCCACTGAGAGTAGAATTAGACATTTATACATTAAAGTCTTTTGAAAACATCTCCTTGTGAACTTTATTTTTTAAACAATGATAGTGATAGATGATAGTTCCTGGGAATGGAACTTCTAAACCATGCCTATCAGTAAATTGGCCCATTGGCCCAATGTCCATAGAAACAAATAGTAACAGCAGTTACCTTTTCCTGAAGACCTCAAATGCTTCATCGAAGTTACCACAGGTGGTCCTTTCAGTAACCCTAGGAAGTAGATGTGATTGTCCCCATCTAATAAAGGAGGAATCTCGGGGTGCCTAGGTGGCTCAGTTGGTTAAGCATCTGCCTTTGGCTCAGATCATGATCCTAGGGTCCTGGGATGGAACCCTGCATTGAGCTCCCTGCTTCGAGCTCCCTGCTTATCGGGGAGTCTGCTTCTCCCTCTGCCCCTCCCCCCGCTCCTGCTCCCCTCTTTCTCTAAAATAAATAATAAAAATCTTTAACAATAATAATAATAAAGGAGGAATCTGAGCCTTGGAGATACAGGGCAGAGATTTGAAATGCCCAGAAACCACCGCAATTTACTTTTTCTGTCCCCCAAAACAGGACAGAGAAATTAAACTATAAAAATTCTACCTAAATTCAAAGATTGTTTTTGGTTTCATTTATTGCCAATATCTTTTTAAGGGTAACATGTGTTTTCAGAGAAGAAAAGAATTACATGATGACTGACAGTTATACCTGGATCTGGTAACTTTACTGATAGTTCCCCAACCCTCATTTTTCTTTTTCTTTTATTTCTTTTCAGCTTTATTGAGGTATAATTGACAAAGTTGTAAGATATTTAAAATTTATATCATGGTGATTGGAATACATATACATTGTGAAAGGATTTCCACTTAATTACCACTTTCATCTCTTCTCATGTTTATCTGGTTTTTGGCTTGTTTTTTGTTGTTGGGTTTTTTTGTTTGTTTTTGTTTTTGGCTTATTGGTGAGAACACTTAAGTTCTACTCTCTTAGCAAATTTTAATTATACAATATAGTGTTATCAATTATAGTCATCATGTTATACATTAGATCCTCAGACCTTGTTCATCTTATAACTGAGAGTTTATATACCCTTTTACCAAATTCTCCCTATTTCTCCAGCCCCTTGTAACTTTTCTACTCTCTGACTCTAGAAGTTTCACCCTTTTTTTTTTTTTTAATTCCACATATAAATGATACCATGCAGCATTTGTCTTTCTCTGTCTGGCTTATTTCACTTAGCATAATGCCCTCAGGTCCATGTGATTGCAAATGGCAGGATTTCCTTCTTTCTCATGCCTGAATAATATTCCATTGTATATATGCCGCATCTTCTTTATCCATTCATTCCGTGATGGACATGTAGGCTGTTACTGTATCTAGGCTGTTGTGAATAATGCTGCAGTGAACATGGAAATACAACTGTCTCTTTGATATCCTCTTTTCATTTCCTTTGGATATATAACCTGAAGTGTGATTGCTAGATCATATAGTAGTTTTATTTTTTAATTTTTTTAAAGATTTTATTTATTTATTTGACAGAGAGAGACAGAGCGAGAGAGGGAACACAAGCAGGGGGACTGGGAGAGGGAGAAGCAGGCTTCCCGCTGAGCAGGGAGCCCGATGCGGGGCTCGATCCCAGGACCCCGGGATCATGACCTGAGCCGAAGGCAGATGCTTAACGACTGAGCCACCCAGGCGCCCCTCTATTTTTTAATTTTTTGAGGACTCTTCATACTGTTTTCCATAGTGGCTGTGCAGTTTACACTCCATTCAGTACACAAGGGTTTTCTTTTCTTCACATCCTTGCCAACACTTGTTATTTTTTTGTCTTAATAACCATTTTAACAGTTGGGAAGTAATACCTCGTTGTGATTTTGGCATTTCCCTGATTATTAGTGATGTTGAGCACCTTTTCATGTACCTGTTGGCCATTTGTATGCTTTCTATGAAAAAATGTCTGTTCAGTTGCTCTGCCTGCTCATTTTTCTGCTGTTGGGTTCTATTTAATTTTTGCTCCATTTATGGTAGTTCATTTTGTTCCTGATAATGTTGTGATATTTCTTTCTAGTAATAACATAATTTTGTGGATTTTTTTTTCAGGCACTTCCAGGTATTTCAGACAAGGAAACGGCTGGTAAGTTGACATTTGGTTATGTTTTCCATCCAATTTTGGAATAAAATTCCATCTTCATGTAGACGTTTCATTAAATATTAAAAGTGTAAGTCTCATCAATCTCTGGGCAATCTCATCAATCTCTGAGCAAATGTTATGATTTAATTCCTGAAAAATCAATTTGGTTTGCTCAGATTCTTAACAGAACATTACATCATGTGAGAATAAGATGTATGCTTCTTGTAGACTTACTTGTAACCATATCCACAATTTTTTTTTCTTGGGGAAAAGAATGAGATGTCGCTTAGTGTACTGGGGAACAGCCTTTGGAAATCAATTGTCAATAATTATCAAGATTTATTTTGTCATCTTAAGTAGCTTATATAGTAGTCAGAGAATGAGATGTACTTATTTAAAGCTGATGCTATACCATCAAAAATATAATTTTGAAGTAATGAGCAATTATATGAGAAAATTAGAATATGTTTCTATGCTCTGTGCTATGATTGTAACTATTTAGGAGGATCATGGGAGATAGATTAAGGGCTGATGAGAAACATGGAAATGTGAAAAATTAGACTTAAATTGGTGGATTCAGGTGCTTTTAAAAAAAATCTTTTAATCTTCCTCAATACTGTTTTATGTTTTATATATAATAATGATAATAATAATCTTAAAAAAAAGAGATTGAAAGGGTTTACTACCAAAATTGAAGCATATCACTTAGAAATTAGATGTTTGTGATTTTGAAGAGCCGTATTAAGAGTTTATAGTGTCATCTAAAAGATGACATGACTTAAATGACTCTACACTAAAACATTAGTTTTTCTGATGATTTTTATATGGAGGATCTTCTCTTTCTAGTTTAGTGATCTTATTTTCACCGCAAGGTAGTTTTCACACAAAAGTTTTCATAGTTTGTATCCTTCCATGAGCTAAACTTTTCTCTCATGTTTACGCTGCATCTGATTTCTTTACTCTAATATGTTGGAAGGTAGCCCTTCAGAACAGAAGAAAAATATTGAACTGGCATCATGTGTCAGTTCAAGAGAAAAACTGTTCAATTTAACAGGGAGTGGTATTACATGGATTAGTAGCATGTAATAACTGAATTCCAATTATAGTGCCAGTGCTCTAATACCTTAAATAGATGTTAGCTGTCTAGTTGGGACAAGAAATAAATGGTTAAGTAACATTTGCGTCACAAAGAGAAAGAAACGTAGCCAAAGTCATGCTTTATCTTGGGTTGTGACATTCTCTGTAATTTCCAAGAGTAGCTACAATTTAAACAAAGTGTATAACAGAGCAAAGTTGTCATCGTATTCCCGAACGTCAGCAAATTCTCTCATACCCCAAGGAGAAAATTAGGATGTGAATTCTTGGCTGGTGGGGAAGGGAAAGAAGGGATGGAAATGCCACTGCTTGAAGGAATGGAGAGGCAAAAAGTGATCTTTTCTTTCTGCCACTTAAATGATTTCAATGTGATAGGGAGAAAACCTTCAATTGTTCAAGCTTCTCAAATACTTCAGATATGTTTATTTAAAAAGTTAAAAATTCAAAGATATATTTAATAAACATAAAATATGTTTATTAAAACAAAGAACTAATGAAACAAAAAGTGTACATATAATGTAACCACCACTTTTTATCATAATCCAAAGGCAAAAACACAAATGAGAAATTGTCACTTTTCAATTTGAAAATTTTTTTCAATTTGAGTCATTTCTGTAATGCTGGGGCACAAATGAAAAGAGCTGATAAATTCCATTCACAGAGGTTCCGTAGGGTGATCTGTAAAAAGTAAGATCTAGCAATTGATACAAATGACCTACCCAAGCCCCCAGATGCTTAACCTGGTTTGGACTAATTTGAACAGAACCTGGCTTCTGTGTATTAAAACATTAGAGTGACTGGAATGTACTCCAACATGGTTTTGATATAGATTTCTTGAGAATGTACTGATTAGTTCAGAAGGAAATGTAATTTTGTTTGATAATATAATTATAAGAAAGAAATTATTTTTTAAAAATCAGTTAATTTATGTGTCAAGATAAAGGCTTGTGTTTGAATATTTTATTAACAATGGTAACAGATTTGACAATTAAAAGAGAATATGACTTATTTCAAGTTTTAAAGGACTGTAACAGTCTAAGCAAACTAATTCTTATATTCCTAAACTTTATTATGCCCTATTTAAAATATTTTCAATATCATATACAAATGTGAATCTCTATTCCTCTTTATGAATTTCTGTTTTTAAGCTCTGCTAGACAGAAGAATGGCAATGAAGGCAGAGGACCTACTCAATCTTCTGGGGGTTAATTGAGCTCTTAAATAGGATTAAGCTTCATTCCCGCCCCTAAGGCCTGTCATTTTTTTTTTTTTTCTGTCTTGTTAAATGAATGTAGCCTATTGTTCCATATTAAGAAAGTCTATTTTTAATCTGTGTGACCTCCCATCCAAGCCAACTGGAACCAATCCCACCAAGCCTTGTGAAGCGCTAAAAAAAAAATCATTTTGGGTACATTCCATTAATAATTCTTGAGATACAGTTGTGTGGTTGTTTCTGTGTGTGCTTTAAGTAGACATCTTCTATTCTGATCCATGTTGCTATGTAAATACATCCTGGCCGAATTAACCCTGCTGCTCATCTTCCACCTTGTGATGACAAAAATCTCCACAGGGAAACACTTTTGAAAGAGCCTCCCATTGGTTCATTCATTCCAAAAATACGTATTGAACAGTAGCATATTCTAGGCATTTTGTTAGGTTCTATCAAGGAAGCAGTTTATGAATAAGGCATGTTCCTTGCCCTGAAGGAACTCAGTCTGGTCAAGAATATTCCCTTGAGCCAGTATCTTCCTTTTCCTCTTCTCAATTGAGAATTTCTTAAGCCACCTTATTCAGAAAGTTCCCAAGAAAAGAATCAAAGTATCAAAATGTACATTCTCAGGATGTGAATTAATTTGTTTTTAAAACATAATTAATCACGTAAGTATTCATGTGTAATTGTATCCAACACATAATATTTTCATATAACTTCCCTTACGCCCCCAGCATCTGTATGCCCCTAAAGAGTAGGCCCAATGCCTTTGGTATATTCTCTAGCACATCTGCTTCCTATCTGTGTGGCCTTGAGCAAGTTACTTAACCTCGTTTTCCCATTTCTAGAGTATAAATAAAGAAGCTGCCATGTTGTTGTTGTAAGGCAACAATGGTTGGCACAAAATAGGCCCTAAAAAATGGTAGCTGTTTTTTATGATAATTGGTTATGCTTCTAACTACCATGTGTACAAGCCAAATAGAAGCTAGCTGTGTTACTGCTGCCCATGTCTGCTCCAAGAGTTCTTAAATGCTTCCTCAGGGCACCAATTAACAGTTAAGCAGCCGTCCATGTGGAAAAGAGATCACTTTCTCTGTAAGCCTCTGAGTGAGTTAATTCAGACAGAAGTTATCACAGCACAGGCAGAGTTGGTCATATTTTAACCTCTCATTAGAAATTCCTGTCTCTATTAGGGTGAAATTCTCTCTTGTGAATAGATAATCTTCAATCTTCACAAACAATGAGTCCATGAGAAATATATGTCCTGCATCCTATTTTCCTATGACTGCATTATCCACTGCATCCCTAGTCCCTGGGTAATTGGATCCTGTCTTCCCAGCTCCCATCCTGTCTCCCTCACCTCCTGCACACAGTCCTGTCAACACTGCCTTCTAATCAACCCTCATGCCTTCTCCCTGCCATTGCACTAATGCAGCCCTCCACTTCCCACTGGACTTTCGCAGCAGGTTTCCCTGCCTCAACCTGTCATGATGCCCATCCACTCTGTACACCGTCACCAGAGTGATGTTTGAAAAGCACCACCTGGTCATATCAATTCCTGCCTTAACATTTTCTTTGTCTCCCTGCTCTCGACAGGCAAGGTCAAACTTCCTGCATCATACCTGGCCATTTGTAATCTGGAAGCAGTATAATTTATTATACTGGATATGGCCATTTTGTCACTCAGATCCACTACTTCTTCCCAGCTCTGTGTCCTGGAGGTTGACCAGTGTGGACAGATCTAGTGGGCTGCTCACCTTTTTGTCTTCCCTATTCCATGAATGAGGAGCCGGAGGTGACTGGGAGTAGAGGAAGGTGGGGCATGACAGTGGGACTGTGAGGTTGGGTAGTTATCCCCCATCTGTTTCCCAAGGAATCACTGCTGGCTTCTCTTAGGTGGCCCTTTCCACACAAGTTCCCAGGTGCTGAAAACCATTCTCTCTTCTTGCCCTTCTGGCTTTCCTAATCTTTGTAAATAGTTCTGTTACTAAGCTTTCCTCAGTTTACCCAGTGTACCATCTGTTTCCTGCTAGGAGTCTCACCAATATACCTACCAATATGTTCTCTTCTTTGTCTTCCCTTGTGTTGGTTTGCTGGTTTGTTCATCCAATTTCAGCCACCTCATACAGTCACGGAACACTTTCTAACTCTGTAAATTTCTACTTTTGCCTGGATCATGCAACTACCTTTCAAAAAATATAGATGATAGGCAGAGATAGAGAAGGAGAGAAATGGCTTATTCAGGGGGAAAAAAAAGATATAGACCATGTTTTTCTTCATCCTAAATGAATATAGTTTCATTTAATTGTATGGGAGAGAAAATATCTACACTTACGATTTAGAATGTGTCTTTTATTGCATAGATGCATATAAATTAGAATATTAGCATTGCATTTTAGTCACCAAAATGTGACTGATTCTGAGCATATTTGAAAATAGCAATATAGAGTAATATGAAATCTCTTGTTCTAAAAAAAATTAAATCACAGAACACCTTGCAAATTTTGTCAGAATGCATGGCACCTCTGGAAAATAGACCATTATCACTAGCCAAAAATGGCAAATTTTTTGCCCTGTATATCTTGATAATTCTACTTGTTTTATTAAATCCAATAATATTGTCTCCTTAAAGAATTATGTCCCAGGCAGAATTAGTCATTGATTTTTCTGTGCTCCTAGAAGACTCTTCTATGTTTGT